AGGGTAATCAAGCAAAATATGTAAGCATTCGGGGAAAGCTAATGGTTCCTGATCTGATCAGCACATTCACCAGATACTATAATTTCTACGGTCCTTGGTCTGGAGTTTACATTTTTTTTTTTTTTTGGTTTTTTTCGAGACAGGGTTTCGCTGTGGTTTTGGAGCCTGTCCTGGAACTAGCTCTTGTAGACCAGGCTGGTCTCGAACTCACAGAGATCCACCTGCCTCTGCCTCCCGAGTGCTGGGATTAAAGGCGTGCGCCACCACCGCCCGGCTGGAGTTTACATTTTTTTGCTCTACGTGGTAGAAACAAAGAGGAGACCCAGGTCTAAATGATCAGTTCCTGGGTATGCTGTTATCTATCAGCCATTCTAATTGTGGGCATAGTGGGTCTGTGGCTCCAGCAGGAAGTGATTCTTTCTTTGGATTGAAGTTAATTATCTCTTCTCCTGTCATTGAAAGTGAAACACAAGCAGTAAATTTCCTGAACTAAAATCATCAGAAAACTGAGTTGAAAGTAAGTGTAAGATCTCTGGAATATTTTAATAAAAGTTAGTTTGGGTTCACTGTATTCCTTATTTATAAGTGAGATAAAACCGGGGCATGCTTATTTTCCTATCTATCTGAGCAGCTATGAATCAGCAGCTTGGGCAAGAAGTAATTCTATGTCCTTGGATATCTGTGAATATCTTAAATGCAATGTTCCTGTCTGGACCCTAAACACTGACCAAATGCCTGCTGACAAAGAGAATTGCAGGAAGTCAGATCTCTGCATTTACCTAAGAGAAAGGAATGAAGGCCTGGCAGTGGGAAACCATTTTCACATATAGCTAGAGGAATGTGACCAATAAGTCCCAAAGGAATAGAAAACAGTTCTGAAATGTGGTAATTAATTACCAAATATATAGCAGAAGGGGACTTAGCTACATCAAAAATCTAAAGCAAAACAGAAAACTTTATTCATTAAAACAATAATGTCAAAAATTACTTGGATTATTGATTACCCTTTACCAGAGCTCTTGGTTCTGATAAATCGCTTGTGAAAAGATGGCTGAGCAATTAATGTATAACATTGTGGCTTGTAGCAATCTGTGCACACAGGGACCCGAAGTTTGTATAACAAAATTTCTCATACCTCTAATATGCATTATTCATTAATGAGGTTCTCTACACGTCTGAAAAAAATGGAAAATAAGTTCACCAAAAGTGAAGCCTGAAAAACTAGCATCATCTTTCAAATTTATCTGTTACATTCCATACCTGCTGTAGTGTGGGCAGTGGGACAAGCTTGTCAAAGTTATTGTTTGTAATAAACAACATGGATGGTTTCCTTTGGCTCTTAAAATATGCAAACCGATAAAGAAGGGACTTATTGAAATCTTGTGTTAACTGATACATTTCCACCCAAATTAATCTCTCTAAAAACCAGCACTTCTTTATGCAATAATTTAGATACCCCAAATCAATATCTGGTTAATTCAGTTTTTTTCCTCTTATATACAGGGCTCTACATATTAGTAATCTCATTTTTATTTATGCATAGTTCTTGATAAAAATTTTTAATCATGTTTTATTTTGACTGAGGAAAAAAATCAAAGCACCTCAAAGAAATTAAATTGAAAGACCAATGCTTTGTTCTTCCTGCTGACTTTCATAATGACCCAGACACAATTCCTTGAAAGATAGCATGCATTTCTTTGGTTTGTATGGTGGTGTACTCAACTATGCTAACCAACACATACTATGGAATATTAACATATCATGTTCAATTCTAAGCCATGGAATACAAGGGATAATTATTGCCTCTCTGTCTTCCATTTATTCTTTCAGCTTCTGTGTTTTTGAAGTAGAGCTTTCAATTTCTTGTAATATTGGTTGCATTGGAATTATAGCTAAACCAGTGATAAACTATCATGCATTCTGTTAAGTTTAGAAGCATAATCATGCTAAATGTGAAACTGATCTACCTCCATGCCTCTCTGCCTCTTCTGTCACTCCTCTCCTCCACACATGTCTGCTGTGCTGTGATCAAACCCTGAAGAGAACAAAGCTCAGAATAACAACCCTTATCCCCAAGCTTCCACAGTGAGGAATTGCCCAAGCATTCCAATGCCCATGTATTGATGTAGGAGGGTCTTCTCATTGGTTAAGTAAAGAAAACTGCCTTGGCCTTTTGATAGGCCAGTCCTTAGGTGGGTGGAGTAGACAGAACAGAATTCTGGGAGGAAAAAGGCAGTGTGGCAGATGCCATGGCTCTCCTTTCTGAGATGGATGCTGGTTAGACTCATGCCAGTAAGCCACAGTCAAGTGGAGATACACATTAATAGAAATGGGTTAATTAAGATTTGAGAGTTAGCCAATATTAGGCTAGAAATAATGGGCCCGGCAGTGTTTAAATGAATGCAATTTCTGTGTAATTATTTCAGGTATAAACTAGCTGGGTGACTGGGACGCAACCTCCCACACCTTTTTACAACAAAGTATCAAGTAAACACCAGTGATCTTACAGTTTTATGAGTACCTCCTTAATATGAGGGGATACCCAGGAACTGGGTATATCATGTGAGTAGAGGTACTGGGAGGTCAAAGGCATGAGATCTCCCAGAGCTGGGGTCACAAGTGGTTGTGAGCTTCTTGATGTAGGTGGTGGGACCCAAATTTAGATCCTGAGCAAGATCAACACATGCTCTTAACTTGTGAGTCCTCTCCATCCCCATAAAATGTTCCTTTTTATAAGATACATTTACTACTTTAGAAAGTCATAATAACACATAGGTAACTATAGAAAACCCATCAGTTAGGTTATCTACGTTCTCTTTTCTGTTGTTTGGGTTTGGACAACCCCTAGGGGCCCACATGTTAAAATCTCAGTCTTCAGCAAGATGTTGCTGAAAGGTGATTGAGACATTAAGAGATGGGGACTAGAAGGAGGAAGTTGAGTCCATGTTGATAAGCCCTTGAAAGAGATACTAGGCTAGGGGCCGTCAATGCCTCTTTTTTTTTTCCCCAGCCTTAGTAAGATCAGTGAATTCATTCCTATGAGTTTCTTTCACAATGAACCACATAGATACAGGGCCAAAGCAGCAGGGCTGGCTGATCATGGCCTGAGTCCTCTGGAAGTATGAGCAAAATAAGTCTTTCATTATTGGAAATAGACTTCAGTTCAAGTAATGGAAACTGTGATCTCCCCCATAAATATTCTGGTTCTTTCAAAGGGCTTCTGGGATTGTACCTGCCTTCATTCTGCTCTACTAGATAGTCCCTCTTTACTATATTAATAGACACACTATACTGTCCTCCACCTCACGCATTTCCCCTTTCATCCTCCGCATCTTTAGGGATTTATGCCATTTTTATATTATTGACTTTCATTATCAAGGGAATAAAAATTAGGAATAGTAAGAAATAGTTTTGATCATGATCTTGAGCCAGCACTCTAATGGGAGCTCACCAAAGCCAGCTGAACTGGGACTGAATGAGCACATGATCAAACTCTGAATATGGCTGACAATGAGGGCTGACTTAGAAGCCAAGGACAATGGCACCGGGTTTTGATCCTACTGCATGCATTGGCTTTTGGGAGCCTAGTCTGTTTGGATGCACACCTTCCTAGACCTGGATGGAGGGGGGAGGACCTTGGACTTCCCACAGAGCAGGCCACCCTGACTTCTCTTAGGACTGGAGAGGGTGGGGGGAGTGGGAGGTAAATGGGAGGATAGGAGGAGGCAGAAATTTTTAATAAAAAAGAGCCATCACTATAAAACAGCAGAAAGGCTTGTTGTTCTTTAAAATATTTTCAGTCATTATCTGCCACAAAATAAAATGATTTCTGTATTAGTTACTTTTCACTGATGTGATAAAACACCACAAAGCAACGTATAGAAGAATTTATTTTTGCTTAGGATTCCAGAGGGATAGAGGTCTCTCATGGCAACCAGGCATGACAGGAAAAAGTAAACATGGTGACTGGGGCAGGAAGCTGAGATCCCACTTCTTAACCAAAGCACAAAGCAGAGAGTGAACTGGAAGTAGGTGAGGCTTTTAACTCTCAACACCCAACCCAGTGGTGCACTTTCTGAATTAAGGATGCTCCCCTAATTCTCCACAAGCAGAGTTATCAACTGGAAATCAAATGTCCAATTGCCTGAGCCAATGAGGGACAGTTCTCAATCAAACTGTCACAACTTGATTTTGCTTTTAATGTATACCTTCAATATTATTAATTTTAATTTTATAACATAAGTCTCTCTTTAAGAATTTATAATTTTATCTGTTTATTTGTTTGTTTGCAGGTGTGGCATATACACCACAGTACAGGAGGAGATGGCATAGGATAACTTGCAAGACCTGGTTCTCTCCTTTCACCATGTTGGTCACAGGGATCAAACCCATCTTGTCAGGCTTGGGAGCCAGCAGCCCTTTGCACTGAACCATCTAATTCGTCTCTCTTTAAATGTTTTACTCTAAGATTATTTTGAAAATTAATAGACCTCAATGTGAGGACACATGAGTAAAAGGAACAATAGGCCAAAGAGGCCAAATGAATATGAAATAGTAGTCTTTTGAGAACATCTCATACATCAAAGCTTAATTTATTTTTATTTTATTTTATTATTTTGTTTAATCTCATTTTATCTTCAGTAGTTTACTCTACTTTGGGGTTAACACCAGGGCATCACACATGCTAGGCAAGCATTGTATCACTAACATAATGCCCCATCTCTACAATGGCCATTGAAAGGACTGGCTTTCTCAAATACTTTCTTTTAAGAATGAGTTTCATGACCAGTTTTGAATTGCTATGGAAAAAAGTTATTAAAATCAGATTTTTAATAGCATGGTTAAATTTCTCAGTGCTCTAAGTTATCAAATTGTGGCATGAGTAATGAAAGAAGGAATGAAAACAACAGATGACGCATTAATGAGACGTCTAATATTGGAAGCATCGTGTCGAGAATAAAAAAGGAGAGAGTGAAGAACTTCTAAGTATATAAAGAGGCATGCAAATATCTTGCATAAAGAAAGTATAAATTTGAATAAATTATTTCAATGCAACACAAGTAAGATCTAAATTTTTAGCTCTAAACGACTCCAACATTGAAGCACAAATTTAATGGAATTGAATGGTGTTTCGAGAATGGGAATGCCTTAAAGCTTTTTGAGCATATATGAGAAATGCTCATTTGCTTTGATTGAGTTAAAAGAGAAAATACCTTTTTCATTTGAAGACTGCTTTAAAGTTCTACGTGTGTGAGAGGATAGGTGATCACCATAGTCTTCCCTGGGATAATCTTAAGTGCTACCACTATATTTAAAAAAAAATAACAGTAAATATTTTTGTCATTATTAAAATACATTCTTAAGGTCTTTCAGCATAATTGTTCCTATAACTCATGATTCAAAAGAACCAAATGCAGACTCTGTCCGTGGGCCTATGCAGGCCACTAGAAATCCCATTACAGCCTCGTTTTCAGTTCTCTGCCGTTCTCAGACTCAGGACTTCTGTGCACATCCATGCACTCGCTTTCCTTCTCTGTGAGCTGCATCTCGGCAAGTTCAGTCTCTGAAGAGTCAGTTTCCTCAGGGAGTTGGAACTTCCTCAAAAGTTTTAGAATGAAGATTGACAGGAGGTAGCTTGATCCTCTTAGAGCTGCTGGCAACCCAATGTAAATGCGCCTGTTGAAAACAACTAATCTATGTAAAATCGTAATGCATTCAGTGAAATTTAATTTTGTACATTCTTACAGATAATTTATTCTTTAAAGAGAAACATTAGGTGATTATTTTTGCTCATGTACTTTATATAATCTACTTTGCTAAATTATCAATTCTGTTAGTTAAAGTGTCAAAAATTTCCAACAAAAGTTTAAATGTATTTTCTCAGTTTGGTGATGGCTAGTTTTCATTGTCTACTTGACTAGATTTAGGATCATTATAGAAAGACATCTCTGGGTGTTTCTATGAGAATATTTTCAGATTGGTTTAGCTGAGGATGAAGTCCCTTATACCATGCACTGGACTTGTAGCCCTCAGTATTTCCTGCCAGAGCAGGTGACACGACCAGCCTCCTCACCAAACCCTGTCTGCAATTACCTCACACTAAGTCACTATGCTTCCCCCCCCCCCCCCCCCCCCCATTCCAGAATACCTTAAGTTGTAGCAAAAGGAAGTTTTGAACTACACAATTTGAGTCATGGGATTTGAACTCATGTGTTCTGCAAGAGCAGTAGGTACTCTTAACCCACATTATTTTCATTTGCTGAACTTGTCCATTTTAATCATGCAGACTTTGGATGCTTCCTGAAATGAATTATGTAATTTTCCCTTTCAACATTTCTGAGAATAACTTTTGTACTGTTATAAGCATCTGTTCTTTGTAAATTTGACAAAGTGTGCCTTAAAATTTCTGGGCATAGTGTGTATGGTAAGTAGGTATTTTGACAAGTACATTTCTAAATAAGTAGGGAAAACATTCCTTCATGTTCTCAACATATGTGTAGGAAAATCTGGTGTGATGGATAGTGTTAACTTCATACAATCTAGAATCTCCTGGGAAAGAAGTTTTAGTGAAGGCCTGTGTGGATTTTGTTGGCCTGTGAACAGGTTCATGGGACATTATTTTGATTACATTGATTGAGGTGAGAAGTTTCATAGTGGGTAGCACCATTCCTTAGGCCAGAAACCCTGGACCACAAAAGAACAGAGAAAACAATCATGCCTATGTCTACAGGGGGGAAAATATAAAAGTAGTATGTATGTGTATATGCTTAAGGTATAACAGTCTAGAAATACTATTGGCTTTCTTTCACTAGAAGAAAAATAGATTAAAAAGTATCTTAGCTTACTTTTCTGTCACTGTTATAAAAGACCCTGACAAAATTAATTTAAAGGAAGAAGGTGTAAATTTTCTCAAAATTCCAAGTTACTCCTGGAATACCCCACTATTGTGTATTATATCCAATAATGTGTATTGTCAAGGCAACTGGAACTTTAACCCACACAGATACACTGACAGAAGTAATTGAGACCTACTGTTACTATAAATATACCAGGCTGGGACTGGTATCTCAGCTAATCATAGCCAGACAGGACAGGACAATGACCAGAACTTTTTACTCCTAGAACTTTTCAGTATACTGCTCACCCAGAAACAAAGGAGTCGATCTAACCCACAGCTTTTTTTTTTTTTTCTTATGCTGAAGTGATTCTAAGCGAGAGAAGTTGCACAGTGAAGTCTGTATAATGCAAAGTTCCTTTGTGGGCTTTCTTGAGCTCATTACCCTCCAGAGCCAGCAAGGTAAAACTCTAGTTCCAGATCAGCCTAGTATGGCCTCTGTGCACGGGACAGCAATGAACCCACAGTTATCCCACTATATTGTTAGTGACTGGTGCCTGTATAGCGCTGAGAGTGATGGGAACCGTGAAGGTACTACCTTTAGTCTATGCAGCAGCATGGAAGCACACAACTGGTTGCACCCAGGTCTCAGGCCAGGCTCCCCAGGCTGCTGGTTCTTGAGGGGAATGGCCTCAGGTATTCCTACGTGCTGTCACTTCCTTCCCCTTCTTGATACTCTCAGCCGGTTTGTATCACTATCTCCCTACTGAGCCATGTTTTGTTTATGCAATGGTTGACCGCTAAGTGCAGTGGAGCATCTATGGGTTCCCAGCGATGAGACCATCAATCAAATTCAGGTAACAGTTCCTTTCTAAAGATAGCCCCTGGCTCTGGCACCTGACATGTCCTACTAAACTGCAGGGGCAGAACACAGGTTTGGGGTTCTTTGTATATCAGGTGCAAGCATGAGAGGGCTGTGAAATTTACAGGAGCTAGAACATCAGGATCCGTGGTACCTGAATGTGTTAGGTCTGTCATCCTGACCCAAGCATAAAGAAAGAAGCTTCTACTCTGTCCTCAGATATGGGGTGGTAGGAGCTGAGAGATTCTGTTCCTGCCAATAGTGGTATTGTCACTGGTCTCTGCATCTTGATGTCTTGTTTATCTTTAGTGTTCTGCCATGTTTCCTCAGCTCAAGATGCAGTTCTCCTCCTATTGCTCCAGGACATCTACACAGATGCCCTGCTCCCTTTCTGATGTATTTTGAACAGTTAGGTTAGGAATCACATTTACACTTATATGTATCAAGCACTTTAGAAATAATGGTAATATGTGAAAATACACATATAGGAAGTTCTTACTATTCATGTACATTCCAAAAATGAAACCAAATTTAATCTTATCACTGAAGAAAATTTTAGATACTAATGGGGACACTTTATACATTACAAGCACAAGTCACCAACATTATCATTACCTGTATTCATTTATATCATACATCCTGCATGCCCCTGGCTCACCACATTTCAGAGTTCCCCAGTGTAAACAGGTTCTGTCTATCAAGGCACCAAAGTAAATAGGTGCCGGAATGCCCCCTGCAATGAGGAGAGAAAAAAAAGACCATTGAGAAGAAGAAAGAAAAGAAAGAGATGTGTTCTTTTATTTGGAAGTACTTCAGTTTCCCTATTAGACAACATAAAAATTATAAATCAAAGTTTCTATACTTACTTTTAGGAATTATGAGTTAATGTAAAGTTTCTAGATAAAGACAATGAAAATTATAAGATGCTAATGAAGTATCCATTGAATTCATAATTGTATACACCATATATTTCCTGAAGTGTCTTGTGCTGGTTTTCTATACATCAAACAGAATGACTTATGTCTAATTTTATTCTTGAATCTACTAAAAGATGAAAAGTGTAATTAAGTTCAGGTAATCTTTTCAAAGTTAAGGGGAAACATTTATCATCTCTGCAGTTATCTCTTTCTCAAGTTAAATACAAGTAGCTGTTTCCAAACATAAGTGCTTGTGAACTGGAGTTCAGGGCAACATTGACAGAGCGCATGTATGTTAAAGATGCCACAAGGTGGTTGGAATTTCCAGGATGTGGACAGTTTGCATATTGAAGATACAGAGACAAATTATTTTTACCTCTCTTATTTATCACTTATTGCCCTATCCTTGTGTCTGATGTTATATCCATGTGATTATCATATGAAGCCTTTGTGGGATGTATTGACTGAACTTTCCAAATACTAAGAATGCTATCAGATAGGATCGGAGCCTTCAAAAGAGAATTCCATGCTTTGATTTCACCAAGTTACTTCACGTTTCCACAGATACATTTGAGAAGCTCCTTGTGTTCTCCAATTATAAACATCACTAACTGCCACCATGTTGGAAACTGATATGTGGATGACCTGAGTCTGTGTTCTCATCATGGTGATTCATGCTTGATTCCAGATTAAACCCTCTTATTTCCTCTAAGGTAAGGGTTTTGTTTTAGGTTAACAATATAGCTGCTGTCTTTTTCTTCAGAACATGTTAACTGGTTTACAAAGAAAGTGATATGCTAGGAAAGTTGTTCATACCAAATACTCTTATGAAAAATGTATGTAATCCAACTCCAAGGGATTTCTCTTCAGACTTCGTACACCTGAGAAATACATACACACATAAATAAAAGTACACCATGGAAACACATATCTGTCCTAGCATCCTCCCAATGACAGTCATGGTTCACGATCCTGGTGGTTAAGCCTTTCATCCTGATAAGTGAGGATAATACAACTCTACTGTTAAGCACACACAGAGAAAGGAGAATTTGACTTATAAAAGCTGTTCTATCACCTCCACACATCTGATTCAAGCACAGCCTTTGACTGCTAACCTCGATGAATAGCTTCCCATTGGGAGAGGCTATTCATTCATTCCCAGCTGCCTAGACATGAAATAATCACATAGAAACTATATTATTTGCAATGTTGTTTGGCCAATAGCTTAAGCATATTTCTAGCTAGCTCTTATATCCTAAACTAACCCATCTCCATTAATCTGTGTATTGCCATGTGGCTGTGACTTACCGGCAAGGTTCCAATGTGACTGTCTCCTGCAGGCGGCTACATGGTTTCTCCCTGACTCTACCTAATCTCTATCTATAGCTCTTTCAGCCTGGATTTACTTTGTTAAGTCATTGTCTGAAAGCAGCTTCTTTGTTAACCAATGGCAATAAAATATATTCACAGCATACATCACCTCCTACATCAGCTTTCTGGTTACCACGGTGATCACCATGCTATATCACAAATAATGGACCCAAACCTTTGAACTCACAAATCAAATAAATTTTCTTCTCTTAAGTTGTTTGCCAGGCATTTTGTTAATTTCATAAAAAATCTAATGCCTCATATAACAATTCAGGATATAGTAAAGGCAATCCCACAAATAAACAGAGAAAGAATCCATCATATAGGCTATGACATTAAGAAAAGGCCTTTGATATATGGAGTTACCAACTTTAGACATTTATCTTTCCTATACTGCCTACAAAATTAAACAATATAGTTTTCAGAATTAAATACAAAAGGGAGGCTTATAAAGTAGTCAGGATAAAAACTGAAAAATATTTTTATAAATTAGGAGTGTGGAAGTTTTTTTTTAAGATGTGTTCTTTCCCCACCAAATACACCCTTGTGTAAAAAAAGCATAATAAATGGAACTAGTAGGATTTCATTTTGAAAGTGGTTCCTTGGAAGAGTTCAAGAAAACACAACAGACTAGAAGAGTGATAATAGTGTTCAAACAGTAGGACTGTATTATCGATCATTGACACTGCAATGTGACTGCAATCATCACATTTCTGAATAAACATGAACCCCATTGCATCAAGAAAGTACACATTAGGGCCTAAAAGATGGCTCAGTGGATAAAATTCTTGCCACCAAGATTGATAAACTGAGTTCAGTATCTAGAACCACATGATTGAAGATAACCAACCCTTACAAGATGTCTTCTCATTTAAACATGCACACCATGGCATGAAAATTCAAACACACACACACACACACACACAATGCTTTTTAAAATCACACATTAAAACATCAATGAACCACATGTTTTTATATCCAGTTTAAGTGCTAACTTAAGAATTAAGATAATTGAGACAGTAAGTGAGACATGGAAGTGGAAACAGTCATGCAGTAACATGGGAGTATCTCTTGAGAATGTGTTTGGAAGATCCAATAGGATAGTTCAGCTACTTATATATCCTTTACTCTGGCCATCCTCCTCTATAATGAAAACTTGTCTTTTCAGTTGAGCATGCTGCTTCGGAACAGGGACACCTTGCAGTACTGAGGGAGTAGCCACATCAGCTGAATCAGTCTGAAACATGATGGGGTTGGCAGATGTCACAGCCAAATCCCACTCATTTGTAAGAATATGTCTTAAGAACTAGTAATACTTGGTAAAATTTATCTGTCTGTGAACCTATGAATTAAAACAAGGCATTTAGCACATCTTCACTTGTGTTAATATAAAGATATAACATCTTACCATGGAAAATGAATATATAAGAACATATACCTAGCCTATTCCAGTGAGTATCTACGGTGGGTAGAAGTAGAGGAAAGGAAGAACCAAAGCAATGGATGAACATGTAGAGGAGAGAATGGAGAGAAGAGAAAGACAGGGAAGGAAAGATGAGAGAAAAGAAGAGGGGATGGGAAGGGAAAGAAGAGGAAATGAGAAGTGCAGGAAGAAAAAAAGAGGGAAGTGAAGGAGAAGGAGGAAGAGAAGAAGAGAGTGTGGAAAGGGAATGTGGGCAAAGAAACAGTAAAGTACAATTGCCTATAAGGAAGAAGTGAGAACCTTAGTTCTGTTTATGAGGAAAAAATGTTACAAATTACACATCACAGTTAACTTTCCTTCTGAATCCCAATAAGACAAGAAAAAGAGTGTTGACTGTTTCCCCACTGGTAGTGGATGTGAAGATTGCTAGGCTGGAAATAACACTAGCAAAAAGAAAAAAAAAAAGCTTGACTCTTCAATGTCCTCATTTTGTGTTAGAGAGTTGGGTATTGTTGCATTTTTAGACCTACTTCTTAGTGAGTATCTGCTATTGCATTCATGTGTCGCCTGGTTAGCTAGTATCTATTATTGCACATATGTTTTCTATTTGTTTGTTTGTGAGAAGTTGAAGTCAGAATGTCGGGGGAGCCTGATCACTTTTACATAGAGAGTTGCATGTTCTGCCAGTCAGTTAGTTGACCCCAGGAAATGAGTGTTAAACACCTCCTCTCTCCCAGCCAAACAAGAATTCCCTTACTGTAGATTTAAGACATAAGGGGATAAAATAGGAAAGGGCAGGGAGGAAAATTTCAGAAAACTTTAAATTACTGTGAAATATAGCAATACTCACTGTATGTTTATTGTTAAAGGTATCTCAGAATATTGATGTTGGAGAACTATTACTGCAGTGGTCTTTCTTGGGAAAAAGGAATTTTAATAAGTGACCACAAAATCTAAATGGCATTGGAATGATGCTCTTTGTGTAAAGGTGCTTGCCACAAAGGCTAGATGACCAGAATTTAAACCCAAGAACCCGGAATATATGTTAAAAAAAAAAGAAAGAAAGAAAAGAGCTCAATTCAGTGGCAAGCGTCTGTAATCCTAGCATTCCCATAGTAAAATAGGAGAAAACAGAAATTGCTTGGAACTTGAAGGCCAGGTAGACTGGAGTACACAGCTAGTACAGCAGCAGAAATAAGAGAGAACCTGTCTCAAAAACAGGGTAAACTGAGAGAACTGATTCCCATCATTACCTTCTGACCTCTCTGTGTTCTTGTTGGAGTCAAGAGTCAAACACACACACACACACACACACACACACACACACAATCATACACTCACTTATGCACACACAACTTGGAAGGAGAGAATGCAAACTGAAAGAGGTATTTATTACCTCAGAAGAACCATATACCCAGGTATGACTGCCAGTGAGAAGATGAAACAGCCGAATACTGACACAATTAAAAAGTACTGCAGCTTTATAGTACAGTCAGGGCTTTTGTTACACATTCCAAGGACTGCAGATGAGATTCCTGAAGACTGAATGCAGCTGCAGTTTTGAAACACCTGTAGAAAAAAAATACAATGTCTTATTTGTAGAAGAAAAATATTGGGTGCAAACCTTTAGTATTTTCTACATAGCTAGTTATATCAAAATGGAGAGTGTTGGGGCTAATGATATAACTCAGAGGATGAGCACTCATCAAGCATTAATGAGGACCAAACGAGAGAGCAAACACCATTAAATCAATACTAAATGCTAAGTAAGTAAAATGGAGGTCCTTCTCCCCTTGACTTCCATCTTTCTTTTTTTTGGATCTCAGAATTCTATCACAAAATATAAAGGGGGAGATTTTTCAAAATTGGTGTTTTATTTTTCAAAGTACAAGAAGCGAATTTTTAAAACTTCAATTATCCTGATTGCACACTTCACTTTTTCATCTGTTTGCTTGTTTATTTGCTTTTGCTTCTTGTGGAAACTCATTCAGCCAATAGCCCTCTGGGCACTGGCCTATCAGGGTGTGGTCTGAATTATTATGAGCACAGACAGAATGCTTGCTTGCTGTATCTTAGCTGGTGCTCTGGATTCTGTTCACAGCGCTCAGTGCCCACAGAGCAGAGGACCGCAGCACCATTCTTATTGTGTGTTCCCCAATAAACATTTGTTAGCTTTTATCGTGGGCTCTCATGGTCTCTCTTGATTATACCTACATTCTTGCTTCTAGTATCCACATGACCAAAATATGCTGTTCTCCCCTTTGCAACTGTGTAAACCCTCATGTGGCTAACCACCCATGCGACTGCCATTTGCAGTGGCTTAGCTTCCTCCCAGGCCCCACCCCCTCCACACCCATGACTGTGGTTCAGAGGCTCAACCTCTGCTTGCCCACTGCAGTTACCCTGATTGGCATCTGAGCATGTTGTCTGCTCTTTTCCCCCTTCTTCTTTAACAAAAATCTGTTCAGTATGGTTTTGAGTTCTACTTAGTAAATCTATAGATTAACAACTTTGGTACAAGTCAGATGGGAACTCCAGCATCCTTGGACCACTTTGATGGTACAACTCTGGAACTTGCTGGCCAACACTGATATTATTATACTTTAAACTCTTGGTAGCCACTTAAACTAGCTAACTGAACACTAGCTCTACCTGCTGGTCAATCAATATTATTACACCTACAGAAATCTGAAGATTTCTGATAACTAGATATTATTTTGATTAATAACTAAATAACCAAATAAATTAATAATAATTTATTTCTGCTATTTTAAAATCATAAGATCATAAGATAATCTCAGATAATGCCACCATCCAGGAATTTAACAACCTTTTTTGTTTCTACTATGGATAGAATTCTAGAAAAGCTATATGACCTACCTGGGATGTATACATTCTTAATCATAGCTGCTATTAGCTTGATACTTCATCTTACAACCTTAAATAAATGGTTTGATGTTCAAAAGCCTTGACTTCCTTTCTCCAATAACTCTTCCACTGTAGCTGTGGACCAAGGTCTAATACTGACAAACATGTGGAGGGACCTTATTTTTTGAAGTCCATTTCTTCACTAACTGCCTCACATCTAGTGAAAGCATGCCATAAGAAACTAATGCTTCCTTAATATGTTTTAGATCTTTCATACATACAGGCTCTCTTTTACATTCTATATATTCTTTTGGCTATTTCATATTTTCTCATTTTTCAGAAATAGTAACAACGTAAGTATTTAAAATTCTTGGTAAGTTATCTCTGACTCTGAGAGGTACTGGCAATGCTAAGTCTTTACTATTGTCTTTTGTATTTGCCCCATTTCCTTACTTAACAATTATAACAAGTTCTTTAATGGTTTAAAATTGTTCTAACATTGTGTTTTGTGGATTATAAATTTTTTGACCTGTGAATATTTTCAAGAATTTTATCAATCAATTAATTTCTGGGTTTCATCATGCACATGTTATTCCAAGTTTTTAACCTTTTCCACTAATTGTTGTAATAGGAGTGGCAGGGCTGCGTCCCCAACACCCCGGCCGCTTGGCTAGCTCATGCCCGAAATAACAACACACAAACTGTATTCATTTAAACACCGCTTGGCCCGGCTAGTTCCAGCTTCTTATTGGCTAGCTCTTACATATTGTTCTAACCCATTTCTAATAATGTGTGTAAGCACCCCAAGGTGTGCTTACCGGGAAGATTCTAGCCTACGTCCATCCTGGGTTGGAGCTGCCTGGGAGAGCGGAGCCTGGTGTCTCTGCTCCCGAGAGCAGAGCTGTCGAGTCTCTCTGGAAGCAGAGCAGAGTTTGACCTCACTTCCTCTTCCGCCCAGCATCCTATTCTGTTTACTCCTCCCACCTATGTTTTAACCTATCAGGGCCAGCCAAGCAGTTTCTTTATTGCTCAATGACCTTCCTCCATCAACTAATGCTATCTTCTCATCATTAAAGATAATTTGGATGGCGTGTAGATTTTGCCTTCCAGGAGGGATGTTCTCTTGGCTAGCTTGTCATAACTTTTTAACAGATTTTGATTGTCAATTCAAACAGTATGGTTCCTTTCAGATAACTTCTCATTCCCAGTCTGTAAAGTCTGTATTATTTCAATAGGTTTCTCATTCTTGATTTTGTTATCATTTATTTGCTTGTTTATTTGTTTTTCTTGTATATGTTGTGTATATATGTGTGTGTGTGTTGTGTGTGTATGCCTGATCAACTTTGTATATGGGTTGACAAGTGAATGCCATGACATACATGTAGAAGACAGGGGTAAGTTATGGGAGTTAGTTCTCTTTTCTCATGTGTGGCCTTAGGATGTAGCTGTGGTAATAGTGTTTGGTGACAAATGTCTTTACCCACTGAGCCTGCACATACTTTTCTAGCCTACACATACTTTTTAAAAAAGTAAATAAATTCTGCTTTGTTTTGTTTTGACCCTAGTACTAAGAACTAAAAGAAAATGTTTCAGAATGTTTTTGGAATAGTTAGGTGCTTACAAATAAAGTCATGTCCCCTAATAAAATGTTTATTTCAACAATAAAGTCAATTCTTTTCTGATTTTTTATGATAATGGGTATGATTAAAAATCAAAATTTATATTTTATTTTGACTAACAGCCAACTCTGTAAGTATTATAACATGTTTAAGACAAGGAAAATGCTTATAAGACTCTTTATCTGTTAAATTATCATGATGTGGTATGCAGAGATACCACAGTCTGTAAAGTTCTTTACAAGGGTGAGGACCTGAGTTCAGATCCCAAGCACACATGTGAAAAATGTATGTGTAGAGAAAGTGCTTGCAACATTGGTGCTCTGAAGGAGGGAGCAGGTGACTCCCTGGGGCTCACTTGCCAGACAGCCTAACTGTATCAACAAATTTCAGGCTAGTGAGATCCTGTCTCCAAAGAACAAAGTGGATGTGACCTGATAGTCCACAGCTGAATTAATATTCTGGCCTTCATATACTCATGCACCTGCACACACAAACACATACAACTACAATAAATAAGTAAATGAATGAAAGAGGCTCATAATATGGAAAATTAAGTTTCTGTGTGTTTCAACACACAAGAGGTATTTGAGGTCAGCCTGAAATTTATGAGACCCTATCAGTAAAGGGCAGATTCTATCAAGAATATTTTCAAGTTTTAATTTTTATGTTTAGTTACGTGTATACTTCTGTATCTATATGTATTCAAATAGGTGGATGTGGGTGCCCGAGGAAGGCAGAAGAAAGTGTCAGATTACCAAGATTGTAAGCTGCGCCATGTGTGTGCTGGGAACCAAATAGGTCTACTAAAAGATCAGCAAGTGTACTTACAGCTAAGCTTGCCCTCCAGCTAATGCTGGGAATTTTAACTTCATTAATTCGTATAATAATTTCTGATGCTTTGAAATTACAAAATAATTTTCAGATTGTGTCAAGGTTTTACATAACATCTACGAATTATAAGTTTAAATATACATATGTAAAGTAGTTAGTGGTTCACAAAATATATTAGTCCATTTTAAGCAGGGACTAATTTTTGTTTGTTAGTAGATGTGGTCTTAGATCATAGCACCTATTAATACAGCACACAAAACATCACCCCAAAACACTGAAAGGGTATATACCATGTTGACGCCTGTTCCATCAGAGTTTTCACAGCCTGCAAGGCAGGCTGACATGTATGATAGGCCATTGTCTCCACACACTGGATCCCACGTTTTAGTTAAACAGTTACACTTTTTGCTGCACTCTGCAAGAACATTTTTCTTCACATACAAAGGTTGTTGAATTCTGAAACGATTGAAAATAATGTTATTGATTCTCAAAAATCACACAAACCCTTTATTTTCTTATCTTCATCTTAGTTCACATGCATTCATGCACATACACACGTGCATGCACACATACAGACACACACACACAGACGGAAAGACTGACAGACAGATGGGCAGAGATACAGAAAGACACACACACAGGGGGAGAGATGGGAGAGATGAGAGGGAGAGAGAGAGAGAAAGAGAGAGAGAGAGAGAGAGAGAGAGAGAGAGAGAGAGAGAGAGAGACTTTATCTAATTCCCCTGAACAAAATCAGAAATCATCCAAATATCAATGTGTGATCTCTATACTCTGTTTTTTGGCCAAAAGTTATCTGTTCCAGTGTTCACTTTTCTGCTTTTTCAATTACTTCAAAAATAAACATTAGGTGCATACCATATATGAGAAAACTGTGCTGTTGGATCTTTAAAAATATGAAGATTGTCATTTGTCATTGATCTGCATGATGGGCTGACCTGAAGAAATTGCAGTTTCCATTTATAAGATGTATATAAGACATATATGTGGGTAACCACAAATGCCCCATATTTACAAAGGGACTGAAAGATGAGAATGAGGAAGCTAGAGTCTGAATTCAAATTCTGTCACTCAAGCACAGTGTGGAGGTCAGCATGACTGGAGATAGAGTCAGTATACAGAATTCTATGGTATTTTTGAAGCTATTTTCTGAAAATTTAATAATTCACCATGAGTTTTATTCTCTACATCTACAAAGTGAACAGAATAATTACTTTCATAAAAAGAGTTTCAAATTACATAATGTATATAATTATTCATGATTTTATAATGAAATTACTCAAATTTTAAAACTTTTAAAGATCTTGAAAGGTCTTTTCTTTTAATCTCTGCTCCCATCTCTCTTACACACATACACATACACACAATCACACGTGCGTGTCTCTGTGTGTTCATGTGTGTAAGCACACATAGAACAGCATGCATGTGGAGGTCAGAAGATAATCTTCCACCCTTTTGAAAACAGAGTCCCCAGCTGGTTACTGCTGAAAATGTAAGACTAACAGGCCTGTGACCTTTCAGGTTTTCCTGCTGTGGCTCCCAGCTCACAGTAAGAGTCCTAAGATTACAGATACTGTACCATGTCAAACTGTACATGGATTCTGGTAATCTGAACTCAGGTCCTTCTGCCAGTCCAGCAAGTATTTTACTGTGCCCACCCTCTGGGGCATGGATCCACATAAAACCCTAAAAAGGTTTTAAAAAGGAGTGCTTCTAGGCCCACAAAATTGGAACCAAGCACAGATTGTTGGTAGCCATATTTTTTCCCCAGATGGGCTTGCAGAAAGCAGGGGTGCCACTTGCACCTTTAAGAGAGATGTAGTAAAAACTGTGTGGCTTTTATAAACAGAAGCTTCCTGGTCTGCAAGCACAAAGGGCTCTGACTCTTACAAGAGGTCCAGCTATAGAACATTTGAATGGGGTTTGTGAGCAGAGTGGTACAACTCACTTAATATCAATATAGACCTATTGTTTGCAATATTGGGCAATGTGCATGGCTCTCAGAGGCAGGAAACATGCCTCCACCATGTTGGACTGGGTGGAGCCAACAGGTAGGACCATGGAGATGATCCTAGCCATGCCTGCTTAAGATTAAAAAAAGCACTTCTGATCAGAAAATAATTACAGATATGCAATAAAGACAGATTCAGATGAAAAAGACCTCTGAAGGGTCACAGTGTTGGTTAAATGTACATAGACTTGGGAGAGAGAAGAGGAAAGTATAGGCAGTTATAAAAAGAAATACTTTTAAAGAATAAAGCAGAATCTTTAAAAAGACAGAGTACAGAGAGTCATAGGTTAAAAGAGTAAGGAAAAATAAGTCATGTATATAGAACATACACAGAGAGTCTGGATTATCTATATTATTGTGTTTTCTTTGAATTTCTGACTGTGAATGAGTTAAGTACAGAGAGACATTTCATTGTACAAGATGCTAAGCTAAACCAACATATATACTTTAAAGGTATTTTGACTTCAAAATGTGGGTCTAAGGACATGCTGCTTTGGAAAAGAGATTCTGCTTTTGTTTCCACAGAGGATGAGAATCTATATATTCATTCTAGACTAATGTGGTTTGATGGAGCAACACCCCCTGAAAATTCTACATAATCCCCCAAAATTACTTCACCCAACAAAAAGCAGAAATCAGTTTGGAGAGAACTATGCTCAAATTTCATAAATGATTATTTATGAATCTTTGTTTACTTTTAAAGAGGGATATGCAATAGAGATAAATAATTTGTATTAGTATAGATCTTGACTTATTGATACAATAAACTTTGTTATATGTTTATTTATTTTCTTGATTAAGGTATTGTATTTGTGCAGGTAATATTTAGTTAAGAAATTCAAATTAATAGATAGTCATCTATAATAGTCAAGCTTGTAGTAATGTTTCTTAGGTTTTCTAGGTGTACAGACATGTATTTTAGATGGCTGGGTATTCTCCAAACTTTTCAAAAACCAAAAGAACATAGCATTTAAAATGTTTTAGTACTTTTCATGACAATGAGACTCATCTACTCCTGGTAGCACAAATATAGTTCAAGAGGATTATGGGCATCAAAGAGGCTCCTTATGGAGTTGGTTAGTCATATGGGCAAGAAACTGCTCTTTCCTGAATTGTTTGATGTTCTGTCATATGAACTGGACATACAGGACCCACAGAAGAATGACTACTGAAGTTTCTTAATGAAGACGAGACAGTCTTCCACAGTTCCTGTTTCATGAAAGTGTCTGCCAGGCATTCTGCAGGATGCAGAAGAAAGTTACTGAAAACTGCCAATATAGGTGGAAATGTCTTTGAAATTTCCTGTTTCATGGAAAATTTTGCCAAACTTTATGGGCCTGTAGGCTGAAGATGGGTGACTCAATGTTACAGAAGAACTTTGGGTGATTGCCCAGGCAGCAAGATGCCTCTGTCAATCATAGAGTTTGGAAGTTGCTTACAATGCACTTCCTGTTTACTTAGGCAACATTTTATTCTTCTGGAGTCTTTAATGGAGTTGAGGAATAGATAGTTATAATTATAGTTTTCCTCAGTTATGATAAAAGATAAAGTAGATATAAATATTGTAAATGTAATTCTTGCTTGATCCCTGCTTTGTTATAGATAAATTTACCATGTTAAAGTTAAAATCTTCCTCTTTATTTAGAACAAAAAGGTGAGGTGATGTGGAATTCCACTCTGCATGCTGTGAATGTATTTAGTTAATAAATATAGAAGCTGCTTGGGCCTATTACTGAGCAGAATAGAGTAAGACAAGAATTCCAAGCAGAGATAGAGGGCAAAATCAGGTGGAATCAGAGAGATACCATGTAGCTGCTGGAGGAGACAGACACCAGAATCATTGGTAGACCAAAAATTCATGGTGATGTACAGATTAATATAAATTGGTCAATTTAAGATATAAGAGTTATCTAGAAAGATGCTTAAGTTATTGGCCAATCAGTATTTTAATTAATACAGTTTCTGTAATTATTTTGGGTCTGGGTGGTCAGGAATGAACACACAATCTCCTCCAACATTTTACCACTGAGTTGTCTCCCCAGAACTTTTAAAGGAACCACCATGTATATGTTTTATTTCATTTTAACTGATTTGTTAACAGATTTTATAACTGTGCTCTAAACAATGTTTTACATTTCCCATGCTAATATAGAATATGACCAGGAAACTCTTAAAATACAAAGTCTAAGACTAGGGTGCACATGAGATGTAACTATACTAGTGATTTATACAAATATTATATATAATGTATATACATATTATATATAATTATATGTATTATAATATTATATATATGTATTGACTCATCAGTATTAAATTCAATTATTCTAAATTTTTGACCACTGTAGAAACATTTTTTTGGTCTGTATAGTCAACCTTTAAAGAAATCTGTTGTTATATAGTCAAATTTTAAAGCTATCTGGTGTTTAAATACATGTATAATTTAAGCTAGAAAGCTCAGGAAATTTTCTTTATTACACTTTAAAGAAAACCACCCATATGTACACAGAATCATAAATTTCTCACTGATAGTCCCTTGACCTCTTTAATAGGTTCACAACATGGAGTGAAATAGGATTGATGAGTGAAAGAAAAGTAAAAGATAACCATGAATGACTGCAAATAAGTTGTAGTAAAATGACCTGGTCATGTGCAATCCTTATAGAAAATGGATTAGCAATTGTGAAAATGGTATTTTCTTCCTTAGGAAATAACATACCGTTCATGTTCATAAGATGTAGTTAAGCCAGCAACTGGGAAATTATCACAGGTCCACATAAGGTTTAAAAAAAATAGAAGGTACTCAATAAGGGATAAACAGAATGCTATGTATGCAGCTTTCTTGACAGTTATCTTGAACTTTTTCATAATCAAGCCACCAATTAAATATCCAATGCATATTGGAGGTAAGCTATAAACACCTATAAATACAAATAAAATAGTATTAATAAAAGAGCAGAAAATAAATGTTATCAAATTTTAATACATTTTAAGGTATTATTTATCTCTAATATACAGTGATCCTAACCTCCACCCACTCACATATTTCAAATATTCCATAAATGTCACTTTAAAAAACACTTGGCATTAATTAATTATTTGAAGCAAGCTATAAACAACTTATAACCATCTTCTCTAACACACACAAACTCTCTCTCTCTGACACACACACATACACTAGGCATTTTGTGTACTTATTTCCACTCGATTTTTAATTTGACTTGTCCCTAGGTAATTTTGAAGGTCACTGTGGATTCCATGCTTGTCAAGTGTAGAAATTTCTGTAAATTGCCTGTTACCCAGAATTCTTCCTCCCTGAGTCACTTCCCAAGCCAAAAATCAAAGAAAAAAATAAAAAAAAATGAAAGAGAAAATCCTTCCTAGTTTGCATTCATACAACATCAACCCCAGACTTGAAAAAATTTATCAGCCATTTTCAGTGCCATGAAGTTGTGTTTAATTTTATCCATCTGAGGGTAGGGACTTGAATTTTCAGAGAACTGCCAATAGTGTGGATGCTTTCAGCCTATGGCTGTCAGTTTTCAAGAGTAAATGAATCCAGGAAAGACCCAAAGATAAGTAAGATCCGTGGATTTGGTACACTAATAAGAAAGGAAGAGTGTGGTTGTCCAGATTACTCAGACCACCAGGAAACCAAGTAACCAAATTAGGAATAATGTATAAGGCAAGAATTGAAGCTCAGTAATAAAACCTGGGAGTAAGATATATAATCCCAGTGACTAAAATCTATATTCCTCTTTGAATTAAAATATTGACTGTCTAAAAATTGACTGACATAAAGACACCCAAATATTTCCATAATGATGATGATTTTCATTCATATAGGAGAGAGAACAGAGAAGGTATTTCTAGCCTCTTCCTTTCCCTATCCATTCTTGATTTACCTGAAGATAGGAAAGAAGATATTCACAAGTATGGTAGCAGTATTCAATTTTCTTGCAGTTTCCTGGTCACATCATCACCTTGTTAAGCAAGTCCTAGGGTATACTGTTCATCATACTGCTGGAGAAAGGGGAACTACTACTAATGAGATAATAAAAATACATACCTATGAGAAAGATTATCTCTGCAGTTGATTTTCCATATTGCTGTTCCAGGTATTTTGGCATAAAGGTAAAAGTAATGATAAATGAATTGACCTGGAGCACACTTATAAGTGTGAAAAGCATATAGATCGGATTGCAGAAGAGACTTTTAATGAATGGCAAGAAATCTGAAACAAGAGAGTGTCAAGATCATCAACATAACCTGGCCTTGCATTTTGTGTTCAGTGTTCTCCTAAAATTTTATAAATTCTGCATTGCGACACAAATACATTTGATAAATCTTTACCCCAGGCTGAAGTTCTATGTCATTGTTTAAGGTGCTCCTGGAAGTTAGTGCCACAACTGGCTTTGAAAGAGAATGAGAATCCAGATATGTCATCAGGCAACCTAAAAAGACATGGCATCCTATCTGTGGTTACATTATTTTATTTGTTTTCCCATTTTTTTCTGTTAATATCCTGCATTAACTAGAGAGTTACTAGTCTTTTTCTCTTGAATCTGTACAGGATTCTCTTTGATGAAGTTTGAGTTCAGATACTGATGCTATAGTACTTGATACAAAAATAGATAAGCTAAAATCTTAGGAAAGCTCCAGAAATCCTGTTGCAGTTCAGCCAACCACAGCATTACTGCTGGATTTCACAACAGACCATTCATTAGAAAGCACATAGTGATATTTTTAAACATCTTAACACATGGGTCTCACTGTAATGAAAGCCTGCTCATTTGTTGTATTCCAAGAAACTTCCAACTAATGTAATTAGAACTCCTCCTTGTTTAAAAGGTGAACATCTAGTTTTAGCCCTTTTGTAGTAAATGGATTGAATCTCACAGAAGGTAATGAACTCCACACTTAGTAATCTCTTTCCTTTTTCATCTCTATGTTTTCTATTTTGATTTTCTAATTTTTTACTATTCTTAATAAATTGCCTAACATTCTTGAGAGTAAAGCATCAAGAAGAAACCACTAAGAAGTTTAGGCATAGAAATTTAACAAAAAGAAGTGAAACTTAGTGACAAATCCATATTTATGAATGACAGGGTTACAATCAGAATTCCCAGAAGCTATTGAACTCACCTGTGTTTGCTGACATCCCTGTTCTCCCAAATAAGTTTCCACAATTCATGTTGATTTTCTATATGTCTTATACTATGCTAAGTGCTTTCCTAGTTTTGAAAATAATGTTGACCTGGCAGACCACACAATCACATATAACAATCAATATTAGCCCTTTCAGGAAAATCCTTAAAATGACCATGATTCTAAGAACGCTAAAGCTTTTGAACTAGTTTACAGTGTTACTAACCCAGCTATGGTCAATAGTGATTAAGGGAGATGTATGATTGGTGTGGGAGGTCCTTCTATCTATTTATTACTTTTATTGGTTAATGAATAAAGAACTGGCTTGGCCTATAGAATGGGAGGGAAAAAGGCAGAGTTAGAGAAATGCCATGGAGCTATCACTAGAGATAAACATGCTGAAATTTTGCTGGTAGGCCATGACCTTGTGGTGATGCACAGATTAATAGGAATGGGTTAAATGAAGATGTAAGAGTTAGCCAATAAACAGCTAGAGCTAAGGGGCCAAGCAGTGATTTAATTAATACAGTTTCAGTGTGATTATTTCGGGTCTAAGCTAGCTGGGTATCCTGGAAGAACAAGCGTTCCCTCCTTCTACAAATTGGCACCAACATGGGTAACTACATCCATGTAAAATGTAATAGGGCCAGAAAAGGAATTCTAGACCAAAAAAAATGCAGAGCTTAACACAGCTTCTTGCTGTTTGCTGGTGGCATGCTGCAGGTTCTTTAAGAGAGGTTCTTTTTTTTTTTTTTTGTTTTCACAGAAGACGAGAACCTGTGGATTACTTCCAGACCAATATGGTTTGATGGAACAAGACTTCCTGAAAGGTTGCTGGGAACCCCGCCCCCCAAAATTACTTTGCCCAACTGCTGACTGAGATGAACCCAGCACACAGGATAAAATATGAAAGGCAAGGTTAACAGTGCTCCCAAGCGCAGGAAGCTGTTTGTATAAAAGTATATCCACATTCCCAAATAGTGTCTATAAATGTTTGTTTACATTCAAAGGGGGATATAATATAAATATGAATAATTTGCATTTGTATAGATCTTGGTTTATTGATACAAATTTAAGGTCAATTTTGTTATATGCATAGTTCTGATCTTGATTAAGGTATTGTGTTTGTGTATCTCATAAAAATGTAATTTATAATTAAGAAATATAGGTTAATAGATAGTTATCTATACCAGTCAAGCTTGTAGTCATGTTAGGTAGATTTTCTAGATGTACAGAGATGTATTTCAGATATGTAGGTATTCTTCAAATCTTTCAGAAACCTTCAAAATATGGTATTTAAAATTTTTAAGAAATTAGGAATTTTCATGACAGTGAGAGACATCTGTTCCTGGCAGCACCAATCTACTTCAAGAGGAAGATGAGCATTGAAGAGGTTCCTTATGGAATTTGATAGCCATTTGGGAAAGAAACTGTTCTTTCCTGGACTGTTTAACTGGACATGCAAGACCCATGGAGAAACGACTGCTGAATTTGCCTAAAGGTGAGATGGTCCTTCAGGGTTCCTGCTACATGAAACAGTCTGCCAGACATTCTGCAGGACACAGAAGAAAATGACTGACAAACTGCCAATATAGGCAGAACTTTCTTTGAAGTTTCCTGCTCCATGGAAAAGTCTGGCAGATAATATGCTCCAATGGTACATAAGAACTTTGAGTGACTGTCCAGGCAGCAAGATGTCTCTGTCAATTGTAGAGTTTTGAAAGTTGCTTACAAGGTGCTTCCTGTTTACTTAGGTAATGATGAGGAAGAGTCTTCTGTTTTGTGTTAATTTCATTGGTTAAATAAAGAGACTGACTTGGCCCTTTAATAGGACAGAAAATTAGGTAGGCGGAGTAAACAGAACAGAATGCTGGGAGAAAGAAGCCGATTAAGGCAGTCATGGTGATGCACAGATTAATAGAAATGGGTTAAATTAATATAAGAGTTAGCAAATAATAATCTAGAGCTAATGTGCCAAGCATTGATTTAATTAATACAGTTTCTGTGTGATTATTTTAGATCTAAGGTAGCCAGGTGGCTGGGAAGAATAAGCAGCCCCTACTCCTACATGTGGTTATTCAGCGCATGATGCCATGGGAGGTTATGAGTGGTGGAAAAATAGAGATATGAGTGAGGTAACCCAGACCCCAAAAAGAGGATCATGGGATGTACTCACTCATAATTGGTTTCAAGCCATAAATAAAGGTCACTGAGTCTATAATTTGTGATCCTAAAGAAGCTAAATAAGAAGGTGAACCCAAAGAAAAACATATAGTTATTATCCCTGCTATGGGAAATAGACAAGATTGCTGGGCAAAAAATTGGGATCTTGGGGGTGGGGTGGGATGGGGGTAAGGGGAGATGGGGAGAGAAAAGTGAGAAGGGGAGGATGGGGGGAACTTGGGGAAACAGGATGACTGGGGATAAAACAAAATTGGACAGAGGAGCAGGGAATCACATAACTTAATTAAGGGAACCACCTTAGGGTTGGTAAGAGACATGAACCTAGAGTGGCTCCCAGGTGCCCAGGGCAATGTCCCCAGTTAGTTCCTTGGGTAGCTGAGGATAGGGAACATGAAATGACCCTATCCTATAGCCATACTGATGAATATCTTGCATATGACCATAGAACCTTCATCTAGTGATGGATGGAAATAGAGACAGAGACCCATACTACAGCATCAGACTGAGCACCCAAAGTCCCAATGAGGGGCAGAAGGAGGGAGAACATGAGCATGGAAGTCAGGACCATGAGAGGTGCACCCATCCACTGAGACAGTGGGGCTGATCTATTGGGAGATATGACCAATACAATTTTCTTCACCATAATCTGCACCAGAATATCACAGAAACCCAAGAATATATTATACTGCAACCCTCATTTGCAGGTAAAGAAATAGCCCCTGCCTATCTTCCAGCTATACATTTTAAGAATTTCAGAGCTCAAGTCATGCTCCTCTTGCACTAACTCAAATCTCTTGAGAATACTACAGAGGTCACCTAAATACAAGTGTGAAATTAGTGCCAAGGTTCAGGAATGGGCGGTCTTGACCACTCAGCTTCTCACAGATGCACCACTGCTCTGCACCAGAGGTTGATAACATTTCTGTTTGTTTTACAGCAGTCTGCTCCATGGGAAACAGTTCTCATGTAAACTATCACACACCTTCAAATACAGAGGATTATGTTACCACTCATCTTTTCTCTTTCAACCTTTTGGTTTTTGGTTTTTCAAGACAGTGTTTCTCTGTAGCTTTGTAACCTGACCTGTAACTCATTCTGTAGACCAGGCTGGCCTCAAGCTCATAGAGATCTACTGTCTCTGCTTAGAATTCTGTGATTAGAGGTGTATGTCACCACCACCTGGCTATTTTCTAGTCTTAATATCAACAATACTCATAGCTAAACTGACATTTTTCTTAGCAAACTATACTGTTACCATATGACAATGTTTTTCTCCCATTATCTTTAGCTTTAATTTCTAATTATTCATGTACCTTTTAGCTTGGACAAATATTTTATGTAAAATAGATTTTTTTTAAAGCAGATGAGAAAACTATTTTTCTTATTGAGTATCCAGATTGACTTGAATTTTTCAAAAGTCTAATCTAAGATACGATGTTTATAATAATGCCCATTGTTTCCAAGGGATAACTGGGGAAGAACTTTAACACATCTGAGTAGGAACCACTAATGACAAACTATTTTAAATCAGTACAGAATTTACCTGGCAAATGCTCAACTAACTGCCGACCCGTCTAAACCAAATACAGAATTTAAAGTTTTCCTCTTTACCTTTGGTGATTCCACGTTTTTTTCCCATGTCTTTTTCACGGTGTTTCTCCTTTTCATTGTTTTCAGTCACATCTGCATTATCCTCTAGTCCTTCTTTTGGGAGTGTTTTGGGAAGGAAGAAAAAGGGGATGCTGGTCAGGACATTCACTCCTGCACAGATCAAAAAGCCGATCCACCAAGCACCGACCCAGCGTGTATCAGTGAGAGTTATGGTCAGGTCATCTGTGGAGAAAAACAGATGTTTTGTTAGCTTGCATCATTCTTTCCTGGATAAAATGTAGAAAATTATTAAGGATCATAATCCATCTAAACACAAAATTTGTATATTATTTGTAAACTATTCGCATGTTTGCTCTTGTTCTTATTTGGGCCTTGTACTATGGTGCCCTGTTTCTAATTCCTAAATTCTGGGATTATAGTTATCTGTCACTAGGCTGGGTGAATCCAGACCTTTAGAAAAATGTCTGAGCCAGGCAGTGGTGGTGCACAACTTTAATCCCATCATTCAGGGAGGCAGAGGCAAGCAGATCTCTGTGAGTTTGAGGTCAATCTGTTCTACAAAATGAGTTCCAGGTCAGTCAGAGAAATATGGAGAAACCCTGCCTCAGAAAGAAAGAAAATGTGTCCAAGATTATTCAGTTGGGTAAAGTTAAAATTATCAAAGAAAAAAAGTTCTGGATTGTTATATTATTATACATAGCATAATAGTTAAAAGTTCATTTTAAAAAGAGAGTAAAAGGATTTGAGACATATTTAAGAAACCAGATTTAACCTAGTGAATTCATATCTGAAAACATCACAGTGATTGAAGAAGGGGACTGGAGAGACGGTTCAGCAATAACTAAGAATTATTGCTGCTATTGCAGAGGTCCTGAGTTCTATTAGCCGCACCCATATCGAAACTCACTACTGCCTGTAACTATGATTTCAGAACATCTGAACCCTTTTCTGACCTCAGCAGGCACCCACACACAGTGCACACACACACCACACACACACACACACACACACATATATACATATATATATATAGGCAATAAAATATCACATGGTACACAATTACTTTTTTGTGTATTCATTAAGAAAATCAACTGATTTGATCTAGCAATATGTGGTGATACGTAGCCAGTTGCCATATCATAGGAGCTGTAGACAGCAATAGATCTTATGAAATATAGCCCAGAGGATGATGAAGCTACTTAGGTACATCCTGGAGAGGCAGAGGTCCTGAAGGATTTTTTTTCCAGAATGTCCCTTGTTTTTTTCTGTGCTTCCTTCTGTTTGTTGCTGCCATATTCCTGCTGTATTTGTTGCAGTGTAGTTACTATAAGAAGGAATTCTACTGTATCTAGTACAGTGTTATTGTTCTTGAGAAAAATCCCACTCTTCACTGGGCAATTAACTTGTATATAATAATTTTTATAAGAGTAATGATGTTTAGTTGAATCAATGATTTAATTAAAATTTGAGCCTAAAAGATACATGTGGTTAAGACAATTAGTAAGATGATTAGGAACATGATTTATGTTATTCTGACAATTGTTCCAATAAGAGGTACTAAACAGACAAATATAGGGTAAAAGTCACCTTTCCCAAATATGGGATTTGCAGAGGATGGAAAACAAGAACAACGAAGTTTAATGAACTATAGACCCATGAATTATGCCTGTGGGAAAAAAAAAACAGGCTGATGATTAAAGTAAATTATTTCTTTACACCTAAGGTTAGGTCTGAGTTCCTTGGTCACATAATTTCAGAATTAACCACACCACTAGTATGTAAAAAAAAACTGAGAAAGAAAATTAAATGTCCCTATTGTGTAAAGAAAAATAGGTGGTTATCTGACCACTCATTTAGTTTCTCTAGAGTAGAGCTAAAAATAGAAATATATACTGAAACTGCAAAGAGCTGTCTGGAATTAGCTGAAATATATATAGCTTGCTGAACTTTTTTTTTCAGTAATAAAAGAAAGAGTCATTGCTTTGGGATGAAGATATTATGGTGGGAAAATTAATACAAATAAAAATGTTTAATTTCTATTTGTGGGCTTCTAAGGAAGACATGTAACTTTTGATCTTAATGAAATTTTTTTCTTATGTAAAGATTTTGTTTTTGAAAAAATGTGAAATGTGAGGTAATCTCTTATTGCATAGATATATTTAGATATGAAGTATTAAAGGGCTAAGAAAAAATAAAAGAGAAGAGAAGAGGACATGTTGAAGGAAAAGCGTCAGAAAAGAGAACAGAAACAACCGGGAAGAAGCAAAAGGAGAATACCAGGAAAATATCGCAGGGGAACAACTGGAAGAGGAAGTAAAAATGACAGGGTAAAAGAACTGAACAGCCAAAGAACTGAGTAAGAACAACCAGCAGAAAGAAAAATAAAACAAAGAATTAACCTGTGGCCCTCAGATAAAGTTCCCATGAGTGTCTGTGTATCTGTCCAGTAGTTTGCCTGCTCTACAGCTCCTCTGCAGTTTCTCTGACATGGAGACTGGGCCCCTTGCAGCAATATAATTTTGAGCAGGTAATGATTATTTCCATCTGTTATGTGAAACCTTTTAAATAAGTGCTTATCACAAACTTTTCTTTTTTAATGAAAAGATCTCTTTCATTATCCACAGTGACTGTCTCATTGAGAAAAACTTATTTGAGTAAATTGTTTGAGATCAAAGGTGTGGCTACAATGTGGTGAGAGGATGTGGGACTTTTAATGAGAAGGTGGCATTTTATCCTTACCTCTGCTCCTCTTGGGTCTGCAAACTGTAAGCAGTGATAATTTGCCTAACTGAGGATCAAAGGAGGCAGTGGTATATTAATCTGGAGCATTCTTCTACACTCTAGAGACTATACTATAGAAATAAAATGTATTTTACCTGTATTCACAGATCCAATGTCTACATAAAGGGTTGCACAGAAGGATGCCAATAAAAGTCCAATCAATGGGCCAATAACCATTCCTGTTTCTAAAATACCTGGAAGTAAACAAAAATAGGAAGTTACACAACCACACAAAGAGTTTGCTTGCACACAAAAGCCTTTACTATTAATAGTTTTAGATATTAGATTTCTTTTCCTTCCTTTGTCGAGCTGGGTATCAAATCCAGTAGCCTAGCCAAGCACTCTACAACTGAGCTATACCCCACCACCTTAGGTATTCTTATGTATTCGATATAAAAAAATTAAGCTTGATATGTATGTTACATGTAAATTTATACACATATATACCCATTACATGTACATATGTGTGTTGCATGTACATACATTGATTCTATAAATATTAAGAAAGATGCTCCCATTGTTTCAATATAGAATGTCCCTCAGAATTTCATGGATCACAGACTTGTTTCCCAGGGGTTACCACTGAAGCCTGAAGTAACTTCCAATTCAGGGTATGATGGCAGATGTTCAGGTCATCTGGACTAGAACCATAGCCCCTTCCTCATTCTCTTTCCCTTCCCACTCATAAGATGAATGGGTTCACTCCATCATCCTTCCTGTCACCATGGTGAACTGCCTCATCACAAGCCTCTAAACCACACAATCCAGCAACATAGACCAAAACTTCCAAATCTGTGAACCAAACAAATCCTTTCTCTTTATAAAATGTTATCTTAGATATTTATTAAAGTGACAGAAACCTGACTGACACAAAAACTTTATCACTCAAAGCTACATTTCACATTCTCTTTCATTCTGAGTTAAGGCCCAAGGCTGTACCATCACAGGCAGTCCTGTCAAAGCCAGGATACGAGCAAGGTCTTTTTGATGCTTCTATAGCCATGTTTTCAAGGGTTTCTGTGATGGCTAGCTTTAATTGTCGACTGTCCTGCCTAGAACTCCCTGGGAGGAGAATCTTAATAAAGTGTTGTCTACACTGGGGCATGTCCATAGAAGACTGTCTCAATTAAGTTAATTGATGTGGGAAGACCCAGTCCACTGTGAGCAGGACCATTCCCTAGGCAGGGAGTCATCAACTATGTAAGAGTAGGGAAAGAGCTGAGTACAACCATGCAAGCAAAGACATAAGCATGCATACGTTCACTCTCTGCTCTTGGATCTGTGACAGCAGCCTCAAGCTTCTGCTACTGTGACTTCTCTATTGTTATGAAATTATAAGATAAATGAACTCCTTTCTCTCCAAGGCTGCATTCCCTCACAGAAAAAGAAATGAAACTAATACAGTTTTGAAGTGTGATCCAAAGTAGTATTATTAAATAAAAACTCTGAGTCACATATTAGGGTGAAAGCTGAAAGATCAGAGCAAGCAATAAAGCAGCAGCCACAGTCACTTTTTACCTCTGTGAAATTTCATACCTAAATATAAAAGATTATTGCCAAATCAGTAAGTCTTCAAATAGTGACAAAAGTTATTTTTAATTTAAATAATCTTGGTTAATCCTAACCCTATTCCTCTCTTGTATTATCTGCTTTCATTTTTGTTTGTTTGTTCTTTCGTGTTAAGTATTATGTATACATTAATTGAAAAGTGTCCCTATATACAAAGTTATGGGTTTATAAACAACTACAGATGTAATTACTTAAGAACATATGCAAATTATTCCTAATAAGCTGAGAACAGTTAAGAGACAGCAGAAATAGGTATATACTCAAATGGTTCTTCCCTTAAGATGTATACATTTTAAAAAGACATTTTTAAGTAATACAAACAAAAGATCAACTTGGATAGTTATTAAAACCATAAAAACCTGCCTGTCTAGGCCAAGAAGCTATAACAAAGGAAAATGTGTCATTAACTTCATAGAGAAGCAGGCTGCAGAGCCCCAAGTAGTAAAAGAGAGAAGATGGTAAATAGGAAACCAACTATTGAACATAGTAGAGGAGACATGATTAAAATAGTATTTGATAAGTTTTATTCTACAAGATAGTTTACAAGAATACAACCAAAGAAAATACTAAGTGCCAAGCACAAGGCTCAACAGGTAAAGGCATTTGTCCATCAAACTTGATCCAAGAATCAGAGTTCAATATCCAGACCAACTGTCAAAAGCTGTCATCTGAACACCACACTGTCAACCAAATGCACACACACACACACACACACACACACACACACACACACACACACACACAGACAGACAGATATAAGACAGTATTTTAAAGTACTACAGATAAAAAATGGCCAATAATTAAATTGTAATAACTTATAGATGCAAGAATGATAATAAAAAGCAACAACAACAAAAAACCACAATTATATCTAAGAAACATTTTCCAGAAAATATTGATGAATCTCTAATGCTGTGGTAGCAACAGAAGACTGTAGGTTCAGAAGGCTAGCGGGCTCTCCAACAGTGAGAGGCTGATTGAAAAAGTGGCTTGTCTGGAACTATGATTTTTAATTCTTCCATTAAATAATCTTTATGACCATTGGTGGCATAGCACTCAGATCAGCATTGTGCAAACCACAATGTGTTTAAATAAATAAATAAATAAATAAATAAATAAATAAATAAATGTTTTTTAGCCTCTGAGGACTTGGTTAGCTATTAAAGATTCCAACTCTGATTTTCAAACTTACCAATATATAAAGGGGAGTTTTCAGATTTGGCAAAATCTTCTATGTAAGAAATACCCAAGGGCATGATGGGGGTTTCACCAATTCCACGGATAAGATTTCCTACCATTACATATATCCACATTAAGGATTTAATTTCTTTTGAACACTCTATATTAAAACAAGAGAAAAGCAGATAAGCATTCCAACAGTCAAGTGTTACTGAGAGTCAATTCAAAATTTTCTTTGTTTCTTGGGTCACAAATCTATGATGACCATGAAAGGAGTTATGTAACTGTGCCTCACTGAGTCACCCCTACTGCTTATTTTGGGATATTATTTATCAACGAATTATAAGAGTTATTTATGCTGGAATAAATTCTCACTTGGGTGGGAAAGATGACTCTATAGATATATACCTCTTCCCAATTCAGTATTTAGTGATAACACATTGGTTGTGAGAATTTATATCAAAGAAATATGTAAACATTAAAAACAAGGACTTTTCATCACCTCTAGGGATTCAGTTTTCTGCCAACCAATGAACCCAATAAGTTAATGTATGTCCTGCCTCATTCATCCACAATTCTGAGGATTAAAAAAGAAGCACATGTGTGTGTATGTCTCTGATAATTCGTGCTGTACTGACACAACACAAGGGAGATTGATAAAAGCCTCAATTACTTTGTAGATACTAAATATTGTAGCACAAATAATAACCCAAGAGACAAATTTGGGGTTCAACCCAAAACCCAGAAGAGCAGAGCAGGAAAGCCACTAGAGAAGTCTTACCTCTACCAAGTCTGGGAGACCTCAGATTAAGCCGACTAAGCTTCTCTCCTCCCATTTTGTATTCTCTCTAGTGCTGGGATTAAAGGTGTGTGACTCCCTAGGCCTGAGATTAAAGGTGTGAGCCACCAGCACCTATATTTTTTTCTGCATTGATTTTGTGTAGCCCAGGGGGGGCCTTGATCTCACAGAGATCCATCTGGTTCTGTTCCAGAAATCCTGGAATTAAAGGTGTGTGTCACCATTGACTGACCTCTAGTGGCTTTCTTTATCTTTGTCTCTGGTCTTCAGGCAAGATTTATTTATCAATATATAAATGATATAACACTACAAAATATTTAACTGAGTAGTAACCATATTTTTTCTAACGATTCTGTCTTTTAATATTAACCAAATATTCCAATGGATCAAACAACAGATGATCATTGAATAACAGATAATGAATCTAATAGCACTCCATAGATTCCCTGAGAGTAGTGACGTTCCAAGCCTTGGGGACTGTTGCAAATTCTGTGGCATGAATCTACATAAGATGGAAACGTTCTGGCCTGAGACAATCCTACTGAGACAGTATCAGACTATGTGTTCAGGAAATGTGTTGGGTCTTTTAGCATATGTGACATTAAAAATGTTCTTTAAAACATATGTACCTTAAAAAGCACATGTGCATAATGTGTGTGCAGGTGCCCAAGAGGGCCAGAAGAGGGCACCCAATTCCCCGTAACTGAATTGACAGGGGGTTGGGGACAACCTGATGGCAATGCTCGGAATCAATCAGGCCCTCTGTAAGAATGGTATGGTGCCCTAAATGGAACCCCCCCCCCCCCGAAGGCTCAGGTATTAAATATTTAGTCTCCAGTTAGTGGTGCTATTTGGAGAAGTAGAGGAAGAATATCACTGCAGATCAGCTTTCAGAGCTTAAAGCCTTACCCTCAGTTTCAGTTTGCTCTTTCTGCCTCATGCTTGTAGTTGAGATGTGAGTTCCTCCTGCTGCCTTTCTCCCTGACATGATTGATTCTCATCCCTCTAGAACAGTCATTATCAACCTAGGGATCACATCTCTTTTAGGGGTCATATGACCCTTTCACAGGGCTCCCCTAAGAAAATTTGAAGACATAGATATACGTTATGATGCATAACAGTAGCAAGATTACAGCTATGAAGGAACAACAAAAACACTTTTAGGATTGGTGGTCACCATAATATGAGGAACTGTATTAAAACATTTCAGCATTAGGAAGATTGAAAAGCATTGTTCTAGAATCTTAAGCACAACTATGTTCTTCTGTGTATAAATTCCCTTTTATTATGGTAGTCTATCATAGTAAAAGAAAAGTAACCAATACATGCAATAAAAACTCAGTGGACTCTGCTTTGGTTCCTGTCTCCAGTTTCCTGCCTTGGCTTCCCTTATGGTTGGGAACAATTTATAAGCTAGACAACCTCTTTCCTACCTGAATTGGTTTTAGTCCATGTTTTATTATAGCAACAGAAAACCACACACAGATCTTATTATGGGTCTAGATCCACCCTTCCAATTTGTTTTCCCTTGTGGGATTAACTCTACAGTGGTGTGGGAGTAGATATCATGTTTTTTAATATCTACTTTAAGAAACAAAGGAGTCTTAAGTTTATTCAAACTTAGGAAGCAGAGAATTTTATATTATTGGAAATCTCTCTTCCCTGAGAAGAGAAATAAAGGTTGTTCATTTGTCTTAGATGCTTACTAAATCCAACGTAACATTCAAAGCCCTTTATAAGAGTATTCTGTAACCATGTCCCTGAGCAGGAAAACAATAAGAAGCACTAGTTCACCTTTAGGGTCCGGTGTTGGTGTTAAAGTCTGGCTTCTGTTTCCTGAACACAAGAAGCTGTTTGAGGACAAGTTGCTTGAAGGTGAGATTGTTTTCTCATATTCGTATCTGTGTGGACACAGAAAACATTCACTGTGAGGACCTGAGTGCAATGAGAGCATCTGTAGATCTCCGAATCCTTCTTCCCTGTAAAAACAGCATCCAGAACCCACACAGACATGTTTCCACAGTGGTCATTCTAAACATCATGAATCCCATTGCTGGGCCAGAGAGATGACTTAGCAGGTAAAGAACTTGCTGCACAGCCTGATGACCTGAGCTCAGTCCTGGAAATCACATAAAGATGGAGGGAGAGGAGTGACTTCATAAAGTGGTCCTCTGATCTCTACATGTGAATACCTACAACCACCGTGCATATGCAAAGACATACAGCTCCCCCAAATGAATAGAAACAGAAATCTGTATCATGAAGTTGGACATGTAGTTCTGGGGTTAAACTCCCTAACTGCAACAACAGGGTGTGGTGGCCCATGTCTGTCACCCTAGCACTTGAGAGGTGGAGAGAGGAACAACAGAAGCTCAAGGTCACCCTCAGCTACGTAGTTAGTTTGAGGCCAGACTGGGCTTCGCAAGAACCTATCTCAAATAAAAACAGAACAAAACAAAGAAAAATAAACCAAAAGTAATCCCCAATTTGAAAACATAAATGAATATAAATAAGTAATAAATTTCATCAAAAGAACTTGATAATCTCCAAAAATGTGCCCTTTCTTTACAGTTAGCTCTCATCTCCACATGTAAGTGGCATAGCTTTCAGATTCCCTAATGCCGACCCTTTGATATTTCTAAATGACTATTTTCTAGAAATAATTGAGTGAGGTAAAGAACAGAAGAAAAAAAAAAGAAAGAGACTCACTAAAGTAAAATTGAGAAGATGACAGCTTTAGAGACACAAAACAACACAACAAATCAAGACAGCTGCTCTGTGATCTCTGAGCTGTGGTCTTATCCTTCCTTTCAGAGAATTCAAGCAATCATTTTCCTATGTGTTCATTAACTCCAACAGAAGAAAAAGTTCCCATGTCATGACAAAAGGTGGCAGAATCCATCACCTGACAGTGCAGAGTCATGGTACAAAAAGTGTTAATAAACTATGGTCATTTAATTTGATTAAATCACCAAGGATCAGCTTCTCCTAGAAAGAAAATGACAGACTACCACAGCAGAGAAGAATGTGTCCAGCTAAGTCTATCTCCATTGTAGGTATCCTGGATTTCATTTAGTTATTTAATATTTATTATTTCTAAGTGCTGTTTAGAAGAGAAACAGCCAGAGGAAACTATGGGCTGCTGAATTCTGCATGAGTATGGAGTTATACTTGTCAACATTCTAGTTTCTATGCTAAATAATATAGTACAGAAATCAGAACCACTTCACCCAAGAACAACTGCCTGGATGTCCCCACAGAGATTGCCAGTGAAGTGTAGACAAGAGTCTGTGCCTCTCTATTCATGACCCAGTGAGGACAGGCCAGATTCAAAGAATAATCTCCATTGGCAGAAGGTAGACAAACACAGTAGTTTTCTTGAAATATTTCTTGACATTGATTTGAATCAAATAGAAAGCAAAGAATAATTTTTAAATTCCATTCACAAGCTTCCAGTTCCCTGCAAAAACACCTGAGATGACAAAATATTCTTTCATTTATTATCCACTTAAAAATTCAGTTTTTCATTCAAAGTCTATTTACTCCCCAACTGACAATCAAAAAGCAGGAAAATGTTTCAAAATGAAAAAAGAAAATTCCCATTTTATCACAGATAAAGAGATCTAGATATGAAGATGTAGATCAGTCAGCACATTGGTGCCTGGCAAGCACAAATTGAATGCTAATTTCCATATTAGCATTCTATACTTTGGGAGAGCATTGCTCCCCCCAGAGAGGAAATTCTAAGCCTCATTCACTGCAATTGAAAGTTGAACTAAAAATACCATCAAGGACTGGGATACTCACCGGCCCATTAGGAAATGAGGTAGTGATATTAAGAAACATCCTAGGCCCATAACCACACATCCAACACCGATCACTATAGGCCTGTGCAGTTTTGTTCCAAAATAACTCACAAATATAATGAACAAAAGGTTTCCTAGGAGAAACGAGAATGCCTGTGTCAGTCAAGTATTATCACATCATAGTCAATAGCCTCCTCGATATTTGCAATCTAGTGTTCATTGTTTAACAACCACCTTAAGAACACAGCAATAGGTGCTTACTTCTGTGCATTATTTTAAATTCATAATCAATCATGACCCCGACGGAAGGTTCTCCTTCATTTTGGAGAATATTCAGGGGTTTATTCAGGATTATCTGGTCTTTCAGAATGGATACAAAAGCAAGTGTTAGCCTGCAAGTCACATCTGGCTGCCCCTCTCGTGTCTGCTCTACGCAGAGTCAAATGGAATCACGTTTTTATTTTTAATTTAATATTTAAAAAATCCCCCCCCCTTTTTTTTTTTGCTCAACATAGCCAAGCTGGATATCTGCTTTTACTTTCATATCTTTCCTTAGACCCACTTAAACAGAGAGAAGGTCAGAGTCCTAACTCTCCAACCGCGACTTAGTTCTAGATTGCTGGAGGTGTAAACTCAAACACAAAATTAATAGTAGAAATTAATTTCCACTATTTAGTTTAGTAGAAAACTTTGGTTTAAAGAAACTCAGTGGGAAACCCTATTCTGACAGAGATGACTTTACTATAGATGTTAAGAGATAAAAGAAGTAGAGGGGCTGGGGACCTGTCATCCCCAGTCACAGAGGGGCTAAGACAGGAAGACTGCAAAATAAACGTTTGCCTGGGCTGCAGAATGAGTTCAAGACCAGCCTAGGCATCTTACTGAGAACTCCCTCAAAATAAGAAGTAAATAAAGGGGCTGGGGATAGAGTGGTAGAATGCTTGTCTAATGTGTGAAGCTCTAGGTTCAATCATCAGTACTATTAACAGAAAAAAAGGAATTGAAGAGAAACAAATATATAAGGAAGCTCTCTACAAACCACATATTTTCAGTTTGATGAAGAGTATTTACCACATTCATATACTGCATAAAGAAAAAAATTAGAAAACACAAATACTTTTTTTAATGACTTTGCAAATCTGTAAGTGATCTCAAATACTTGAAAGATATATGAAGACCTGTTTTTCTCCCAATTCTATTTCTCTCTACTCTGCTAAGAAGAGACTTTGCATTATTTTGAATAGTATGTGCCTCCCTCTATATCCTTATTACCCAATCTCTGTCCACAAATCGTTTCATTGAGGTCATGACTCAGAAGGTAATACCCCAGGATACCCACTGCTTGAACTCGCTGTACTCCTTTCTAGTCCTGTACCTGATCTCAATGAACTGGATCTTGTCTGAAGTCTCTGTTGTTTGAAAGGAAAACATTCCTTCCTCATATTACACTTAAATTGCCTTTTACGTTGCCTTAGTGTCCCTCAAATAATTGGAGGGACGGTGTGCGGAAATGTAAGGTGCCATCCAGGCTAGGAGAAGGTTGTTAACAATACTAACTGGGGAAATGCCCACCAAATGCTGCATTCACTGTCCAATGTGAATTCCTTCACATCACAATGATTCTAATTTAAGACTCCCTTTAAGTCATCTGCCACAGCCAGTGGCATTGTTATTATTTTTTAAAATATTTATTTATTTATTAAAAATTTCCACCTTCTCCCATCCTCCCATGTCCCTCCCACTCCCCCCACTCCCCTGCCCCTTGCTCTCCAGTGTTGAAATAGGAGCGGAGGGGCTGTGTCCCCGGCACCCAGCCGCCCACATGGCTAGCTTATGCCTGAAATAATTACATGGAAACTGTATTCTTTCAAACACTGCCTGGCCCGGCTAGTTCCAGTTTCTTATTGGCTAGCTCTTACATATTGTTCTAACCCATTTCTAATATTCTGCGTAGCCCACGAGCTGGCTTACCAGAGAGGATCTTAACCTGCATCTGTCTGGCATGGGAGCATCATGGCGACTCCTCCTCTAACCTTCTTTCTCCCAGAATTCTCTTCTGTATACTCCGCCTACCTAATTTTCTATCCAATAAAATGGGCCAAGGCAGTTTCTTTATTAATAAGAAATCACTCCCACATCACTCCAGTCCTAAGAGGAGTCAGGGGGCCCTGTCCTGTGAAAAGTCCAAGGGGGCATCTAGGTCTAGGAAGGTGTGCATCCAAACAGATTAGGCTCCGCAAAAGACAGTACATGCAGTAGAATCAAAATCCGGTGTCATTATCATTGGCTTCTCAATCAGCCCTCATTGTCAGCCACATTCAAAGTTCGATTTGATCACATGTTTGTTCAGTCCCATTCCAGCTGGCCTTGGTGAGCTCCCATTAGATCAGTCCCACCATCTCCGTGGGTGGGTGCACCCGGTGTGGTCCTGACTTCCTTGCTCAGGTTATTATTTTTTAATTTAAACCAGACTTTTTAACCTTTATTTAAAAAAAATCACAGAAAATAAAGTTTTCCATGAACTTGGATGAGAATTATTTTCAATAATCATTAACTTGGAATCAACGTTTCTGTTCACAGTAATCTACAAGGCAATAGTGACATGAAGAGTCATCTTTCTGTCACCAATAGAACTATAAATATTGGTTGATGACATCATAATTGTTGTAAATACTACAAAAGCCCATGCAGCCTATAATTACTTGAAAATCAGATGTAGATGATCTTTGCCTTGTTAAAAAGCATGAATGTTTCTCATGACAGGATGTTTAAATGTTCTGATAATTATACTTCAGTGTAATTTAGTTTGATTTTGTATAACTACAGTATTATCCAGAAATAAGATGGCATTGCTTTTCAATATAAGTCCTCGACATAGAAAGATCAATACTCTCTTCCAACCCCATACTGGCTCTCTGCCACCAGAGAGGTAAAAGACACACTCCAGAGCAAGCTGCAGTCTCTACCCATTTTTTATTCCTGAACACTTCTCCACATTCCCATTACACAGGGCTGTCTTGATCCCCACACAAACTATTTGATGGTTCACCCTCTGTACACATCTCCCCTTCACATTTAGCTATCCATTTCTCCACCCAGATCACCTTTACCCCTTCAGGATACCGTTTTCCCTAGAACAGTGTGTTCTGTTTGAACTTGGATAGGCAATGCATGTCACTTGCTGCTCCTAGTACAATGGAACATTACTCAGTCTTAGTAAGGCCTTCATTCTGACTGCACTGTGAAGACATAGGACACAGGCAGCAGAAGAAGTACTGAGAAGTTTGATCTTGGGAGCAACTTCACATGTTCGTTCAGTCCTATTCCAATTAAGCAACTTCAGTGTGTGTTAGCTACTTCACAGCCTTGATTTTCTTTGTGGCTTTGATTAAATACCTTAAAGAAAATTTCACCTTGAAGAAAGTAACAACCAGGACTAAAAGTCTTCCAGGTCACTTTGTTTATAGAGGGCATCTTTCCCTCCTTGACCCCCGTATTCTCATATCCCAGTTCATCACCTAAAGATCATTCACTCTTCTTAGAAATTGTGTCTTAGGAATGATTCAAACACAGGAAAACATAGAAAACATTCTCATCTTTCTGATGACTAGAAGTGCAGAGCTGTCAAACTCACAGGCACAGTAGGGCAAGAGAAGAATTTGCTCTCTTCAGAACACGAGTTCCTCCAGGCTCCCACAGATACCTTGTAAAATGTCATAGAAGAGGCCTTAGTGTCTCTTTGAGTTTCAAGTGATGGATATTAATACTAAAAATCTACTGTCACGCCGGGCGGTGGTGGCACATGTCTTTAATTCCAGCATTCGGGAGGCAGAGGCAGGTGGATCTCTGTGAGTTTGAGACCAGCCTGGTCTACAAGAGCTAGTTCTAGGACAGGCTCCAAAACCACAGAGAAACCCTGTCTCAAAAAAAAACAAACAAACAAAAAAATAGAAAAAAAAATCTACTGTCACTTGTCAAAAAATAAAGAGACCATATCAAGGTATGTGGCAATAATTAGGTATTATAATGGAGATATTTAAATAAATAATTTCTTTATACCCAAACCAGGCTATTCAATCACACCAGGAAGCACATAATTCACAAATTATAAAGTCTAATATAGGAAATAAGGAGAGAATGTCAATATATAACAATAAGTAAATGTGAAAATAACTCACCAATCTCAAAGCTCCCATTGATAAATCCAACTATAGATGTGGGGATATTGAATTGTCTCTCTATTTGTGTGAGCATAGAATTCATATAAATTCCTGATAGTGATTTGGCTACATATGCCCCTGTTAATGCCAAAAGAAACATCTAGGAAGAAAAACATTTAAGAAATAGTGAGCAATTCATTATATATATATAATATTATATATATGCCATATACTGGCAAAACAGCCTCTACTGTGAGGTGGAGGATTGTATCCAACTTAAACAGCCCTAGAACATGAAAAACTTTAAAGTGTAATCTCTACTCTGTCCTAACTCTGAAAATTCAGGGTTAGAATATTTGGATTGAAGTTGTGAGTT